TCGGTTGGACGCGCGGTTTCTGGTTAACTGTCGGCTTTGTTATATGCCTGTGAAGTTAGAAGGTCGGTCAGTGTTACTTCAGCCGTATCAATAGGAATGCTGTACCGGAGGAGTGGCGTAGTTAGGGGATTTTTACGTCATGGCCGTGATAAATGTTGTCCTTTCTGGCAGCGGTGGTCTGATTTCCCTTATGATTTGTAACAGGCCACGCTGAAGGCAGATTGCATAAACAAGCCGTTTGTTCAGAGGTGCCACGATCTGGAGACGGTCATTGAGGAGTTTCCCGCCAAGGTGAGCAGTTGCTGCCTTTTCAGAAGCTCAGTGCCTGGTATATTTCAGGGGAATTTGCTTTTTTCATATTACTATTTTCTTTGTTCCTATTTCTCTTATCAAGAGTTTTGAAGACCCCAGGTGAAACAGTGGGAATCTAGTGTTTCCCAGGAGTTAAAAACCTTTTCTAGTCATTAGAAGATTGACTGCACTTCATTGATACCTTTCAGCCTCAATTTATGAGGAAAACTAGTTTTAAAAGTGTGACAAATAATTGCATGCGATGCTGATGAGTATCATTTGAACTTTAGTAGGATCAGAAATCAGGACAGATTTCCTGTAATGGCGATATTATAATACATTGTTTTGAATGGAAGCTCTGCCCAGTGATAATCTGGAAACAGTCATAAATAGCTGGCAGACAGTATTTTCATGCATTCTAGTACGTGCAACAGAGATTGTTCAAGTGAGGAACTGTACACATTAACTATTTGTGTCTGTTTTCCTTAAAGGAACTACATGGCATCTTCCCATGGCTGGTGGAGAGCATTTTTGGTAGCCTGGATGGCATCATCGTAGGCTGGAATCTTCGCTGTTTGCAAGGAAGAACAAATCCTACCGAATATTCTGTGGCTTTGGATTTCCTGGATCCCAGGTAAATTCATTCGTTTCAGCACAGATTAAAAAATATATGGTGAACAAATAACCAGTGTTTGACCTTTTCCCATTGTACAAACGTAAGTTCACAAATGTGAGACAGGAGAGGATACTTACCGTGGATTTTCTTTCTGATGCTTGTTTACAGTGGCCCAATGATGAAGCTAGTTTACAAACTCCAAGCAGAAGAATACAGATACGATTTCCCAGTCTCATATCTTCCAGTGAGTAACTGAAAAATTTGTAAGAAGAGAATGTAGTTGTTGTTGCAGCTATTGGAACTTTGCACGTGCTTTATACGTATGGTTTGGTATAGATCAAAGTATAGCCTTGGTGTTCCAGGTTTAGAGCATAACTGTTTCTTTAAACGGTTACTAGAGGAGGAGAATTCCCAGCCATAAACTTAGTAGGAGATGGTGGTTGTCAGCAGCTAGATATTTGTGCTGGTCAGCCAAGAAAGCTGCAGTGTGATTCTTACCTTGTCCCCAGCGAAAGTCATGTGCTTTATCTTGGTTACCAATAGTTGCAGGATTGAAAATAGTTTTCCAAGCTCATCACAGAGCAGTGCCTTCCCTAGCTGCACTTTGTGCCCATGTGTTTGAAGGCTAACTGCTATCCTGGATACGAAGTATAACATTTCAAACAAAAATGTTTATCTGCAAGTTGTTTTACTATGTTTCTTCCATTGCTACCAGCTACCTGCTATCTAGAAATTGATTCAGATAGTTCTACAGCCTTTAACAAAAGGAAACATCATTTAAGTGTATAGTAATTGCTGGTCCACAGCTCAGTTACCCTAACAAAACCATCAGCCATCAGACAAACACCAGTCTTCTGCTGTGCCCACTCCAACTGTAAAAGTCTTGGTGAAGGCTCATTTTTTTTTCTTCTTATACTGAATACTCACTTTCAGTGAGAAAGTTGGCAGTTATCTGAAGAGTATGCATTTGCATGAGGAATTACTGTAATGCAGTAAAATTCCACTGAGCTGAATGTAGATACAATCCCAGAATGCTGGCGTGCAGCAGAACTTCACTATCTGAAAACATACTGTGCAAGTATGCTGAGTAGCCTGATTAATATTTCGTTACTCTTTCAGGGCCCCGTGAAGGCTTCAATACAAGAGCAAGTCCTACCTGAATGCTCTTTGTACCACAACAAAGTCCAGTTTCCTTCATCTGGTGGTTTAGGTTTGAATTTGGCTCTTAGTATCCTTTTAACAGTTGGATATTTCATTCCTTTTAAACATCTAAAACTGAGACATTACAAAGCATTTCTGTTGTATATTTATTATGTGTCTGTGGTAAGTCACTGTCATGCTGAAGAGTTTGGGCTGATAAGAAATGTTTAGATTCCAGTGAAAAATAAACTTGTCCTCTTCATATAAACCCTTGTGGGGGAATTTCTGGCCTTATTCAAGTCAGCAACAAAATTCCCAGTGATTTCAGTAGAGCCTGTATTTCACAATTTTTGTTTTCGTAACTACTCATAGTTTATGTAATATGATAGAAAAAGGGCATGTTAACTTTGCAGCTAGTGTACTTGGTGGAAGCAGTCTAGCTGCAGCTGTGCTGTTTGCAGTTTGAGATAGTCAAATGTGCTAAGAAAAGTAATGCAAACACACCTTGCCCCAAAGAGAAAACCTCAATTACCAACATTTCACTCAGTTGGAAAGCAAGAAAGCAAAGCTGAATTTGCTGTTAAGCTCTAGCAAGTTAATTTAGGATTGACAAAATAAAAATTTAATGTCTAGTCAGCATCCCCAGATATCTGACAGCTGTACCTGGTTTTTATTATCTGATCCTTGACTCTGTTCTTCCAGATCCATTTGAATATTACATGTTTTACTTTGCAATTAGTTTGATTACACAGAAGGTAAGTACCTTTTGCAATTTTTCCCTTAAAATAGTATTAGCCTTTCTTTACAATGCTTTAAGAGCCTGCAGAGATGCTCTCCAGCTAAATTAACAGCAGTTTTATCTGTACTTTTAGAACTTGGTTCAGGTGATGATGTAAGACTGGATAATAAACAAAATACCCACCTTAGATAGACCAGTAAGCAGTCTGTCCAACAACATGTCAACATGGAGCAGGCAGTGGCTTCCAAATGGGTTTCCTACCCCTCTATCCAATAACACCATTTATACAGTCATAACCACAGCTTTGTACTATGGTGTCTGGTTATTTGAGTCCTCTTCCTGTTGTTACCTGTGCTATATAACACTGCAGTCTTCTCATACTTGGTTACATTCACTGCTACAGCAACAGTTCTCTTAGAGTTAGCTACTTTACCTTTGCTCCAAAGTGTCTTTGTTGTCAGTTCACCCTTTATAATTACAGGCTTCTGCTTTTTTATACTAAATGGGTCTGGCTGTGTAGTAGGCACTCCCTAGCAGTGGCTTAAAGTAACAGTATGTAACTCCAGGTATATCCTGTGTGTCTGTTTCAGAACTCACCCGTCACCCATCATGTCAGCCCTTCCAACAGTGCTTATTTCATCTTGGTGGACACATACCTGAAGTGTTTCTTACCCACAGAAGGAAGTGTCCTTCCTCCACCTTCTTCAAATCCTGGGGGAGCCATCCCTTCCCCGACTCCCAGGTAATGACTACGGTGCCAGAGGCATATTGTGGGAACAGCGCTTACAAAATAATTACAAAAATTAAATAGATTTATGTTCACTTAATTGTACCATAAAGGTTTCTTTTGAAAGTCTGAAAGGAGCAGAAAAGGCATGTACAAGCAACAAAAATTCATCAGTTCAGCAACTCCGGTTGTGTTTTGTGCCCTGCAACTGGAGTAGGACAGATCTGACTGTACTTGACAGTAGTTTTTACTGTCTTCAGTTACATATGGTATGTAGTAAAGATGGCACTGGTGATAACCACTGTTACAAGGAAACTTGCATCTTTCATTAATGTTGCTATAAAGCCAGGCAACTTGGCAGTTGGTCATTTTGTTTCAGGTCTGAGGTTGCCATCCTTAATTGTTTAATGCTCTCGTTACCTATTTTGCAGTTCTTTGAAATTGCTGTGTCAGGACCATGTTTGTAGCTTTGTTGCAGACTGATAGTGCTCGTAGGTTTCTTAGTTCATAACTTCCTGATATAAAAAGCCAAGACACATATTAGTAATCAAATCATATAATGAGTGACTGCATGTCAGGTGACTTTTTGTATGGCAACAGATTAAGCTATTTAGCCACAGTCGGAAAGGAGAGGATGAAAGATTTTTGACCGCTTACTGAAGTTCTGTGTGTCTCTGATAATGGCATAAAAACAAACTCACAAAGTTGAAGTGAAAATTCTCCAATACAAGAACCCAGTCTTTTGTTCTTTGTAATGGCTAAGTGTGTGAAAGTCCACATTTTCAAAATTAGTTTTGCTACTCGAATTTATAAAATGTTATCAATATTAACAATTTTATACAAATGTGTCCTGGTTTTGGCTGGGATAGAGTTAATTTTCTTCCTAGTAGCTGGCATAGTGCTGTGTTTTGGATTTAGGATGAGAATAATGTTGATAACATGTTGATGTTTTAGTTGTTGCTAAGTACTGCTTATGCCAGTCAAGAACTTTTCAGCTTCCCATGCTCTGCCAGGTGCACAAGAAACTGGGAGGGGGCACAGCCAGAATAGCAACCCAAACTGACCAAAGGGCTATTCCATACCATATGATGTCATGCTCAGTATAGAAACTGGGGGGGGTTGGCTGGGGAGTAGCGATCGCTGCTTGGGAATTGGCTGGGTATCGGTCGGTGGGTGGTGAGCAATTGCATTGT